CTGCCTACAAGTTGGTTTTACAGCTCTTTCTCTTTCCTCTCTTCTGGCCTGCTGTAATTGTATGCAAATCCCTCGAATAATAAGACAAGCAGTGATGGTCCAAGCGGAGGTGTCACTTGAGAAGGCAAATATGTGATGGGAATTCTGCTGTCCGTGTCTGCTGCAGTGGCTTTTTCACCGCCAGCGAGGGGCACTGTGGTGTCGTGAGGCTCCATAGAGAGGTGTCTTAGCAGGTCTTTTGGCGTGTTATGCAGGAGAGAGCAGAGGTTTGAGCAGGTAGACATTATGCAGTGTTAATGTTACTATAGTAACCCTGATTAAGATGATGTCGTCAGTAGATTGCTCTTGTGCTGATTACAGGGAAAGGTTGCGAGAACAAGGCAGTGGGCAGCATTATTATGATTTAGGGCCAAGGAGCGTTGTGTGAAGGAGCCGAGACCTTGGCTAACTCATAACTTGATTTGCAAAACCGCCAAGAGCTGAAGAGGAACTCAAAAAGGGAATATAAAGAGAAATGAAAGCAGTAAATATTCATGTTGCACATTTTATAGCTACCACAGCCACCTGTAGGAGAAAGTTAGCAGGGGGAATTGGATTATTAGGACAAATCTATACATTTAGTAATGTAGAATGACAAGAAATGACAGTGCAAGGCAGTTTTCTTTTAGATTAGATTATAATCTACTTTATTGTCAATACACTTGTAGTATAGCATTTAACCAGAAGTGTTATATTGCAAGTATTAAATTATTTTAACACGTGTGGAGATATCTTTGCCTGTATTTAAATTAAACTATATACAAGCTTTTGTTTCTATTGCATGTATTAATTACATAAATACCGTTTTTTTCCCCCTTCTCTTGTATATCTATACATCTGGAACTGTCTCTTTCTGAAAATGTGAGACAGACCACCTCTCTAACTAGGGGTGTATCGATTTTTCGATATATCGCGATACTTTCTCCCGCGATTTGATTATCGATATATACTTAACTTTTTTTTTTTAATTGGTATCAATACTTAATATATTCAGATTCAGATTCATCAGATTCAGATTCAGATTCAGATTCATTTATTATGCCATTTGCAGTAACACCACATTGGAATACATTTGTATGAGTTCCCAGTGTGCACAGGACAAGTACAGACACAAAACAACATTAAAAGACAAAAATAAAACAAATTTTAAAAAACAGTAAACAAATGTAAACAAATGTCACCGTGAAGTTGACCAACTTAAAACAGATCTGTACGAGTGCAAAAAAAAAACATTAAAGTGCTCTATTCAGACTGTTAACAGCTCGTGGAAAAAAACTATTTGCATAACGAGATGTCCTGCATCTCAGGGAACAGTATCTTCTGCCAGAGGGAAGAAGCTGGAACAAGGCTTTTCCTGGGTGGCCAGAAGAGTCATTGATAATTCTCAGGGCACTGTTAAAAAGTCTGGATTGATAAAGAGCCTCCAGGACAGGAAGTTCACAGCCCACAGTCCTCTTAGCAGAGCGGAGCACCTTGTTTAAAGCTCTCTTTTCTTTATCTGTGATGTTACCGAACCACACAGACACAGAACCAACAAGTAAACTCTCAATGGTGCAGCGATAAAAGTTCAGCAGAATCTTAGAGTTAGTGGTAAATTCTCTAAGTTTCCGCAGGAAGTAGAGACGCTGACGGGCTTTCTTTACGACCCGGTCAGTGTTTTTAACCCATTTCAGGTCATTAGACAGAGTTAGACCCAGAAACTTACACTCCTCTACAATCTGCACTTGGGAGTTATCGATTGCGACAGGCAAAATGAGAACTATTGCGACTGAAATCAAAGACCAGTTCGCATGTTTTGGATGCGTTCAGCTGGAGGTTGTTAGCCTTACTCCACTGAACCACGTTTTGGATCTCGGCTCTATAAGACGATTCATCGTTATTACTGATGAGACCGATGATGGTGGTGTCATCAGCATATTTGATGATCAGGTTAGAGTCTGAGGAAGACACACAATCATGAGTGTACAGTGTAAAAAGTAAAGGACTCAAAATACATCCCTGAGGAGAACCAGTGCTCACAGAAACAACATCTGAAAAACAGTCATTGATTTTCACTCTCTGAGATCTGTCAGTTAAAAAGCTAAAAATCCATTTACACATGGCAACACTTAAGCCGAGAGACATGAGCTTTTCAATCAGTATACCTGGGACAAGACCATTAAAAGCAGAGCTATAATCAATGAACAGCATTCTTGCAACAGATTTCCTATTGTCCAAGTGACTGTAGACAGAGTTCAGAGCAAAGGAGATGGCATCCTCCACACTCCTATTCTGTCTATAAGCAAACTGGAGCGGGTCAACGCTCACAGGGATCTGGCTCTTAATGAAGTCCAACACAAGCCGCTCAAAAGTCTTCATTAGGACAGAAGTGAGGGCCACAGGACGATAGTCATTAAGGCATGTCACAGGAGTTTTCTTAGGAATTGGGATAATGGTCGACTCTTTGAAGCAGTTCGGCACAGCACAGTCCCTTAGCGACAGGTTAAAAATGTCTGTTAAAACAGGGGCAAGTTGCTCAGAGCACAGTTTCAGGACACGAGGAGGGATGCCGTCCGGGCCTGGGGCTTTCCGGACAATGGTGCTGGACAAGACCCGCTGGACTGCCTCCTGAGTCACGGTGAACGCCCCTTGATTGAGGCAATCAGGAAAGACAGTAGGACAGGCATCAGCAGATTCGAAGCGGCAGTAGAACGAGTTCAGCTCATTAGGCAGAGCTGGGCCAACAGATCCGATTTTCCCGGCACTAGGTTTCCAGGACGTGATGGCTTTAATACCGCTCCACATGCGCCGAGGGTCATCTTCCTTGAAATAACCCTTTAACCTGTCCCCGTAACTGCGCTTTGCAGATTTAATAGAACGTTTCAATGCATAACAGGATAGCTTATAGGCGACTGTATCGTTAGATTGGAACGCCAGAGCACGCTCATGAAGTTTTTGTTTCACTTCCGCGTTCATCCAAGGGTTTTGACTGAGATGTACTTTAATGACCTTCTGTGGGACACAGCAGTCAATACAGAAGCGTATGTATCCAGTCACAGCGTCACAGAATTCATTAACATCCTCTGATTGAAACACAGACCAGTCAGTGGCATCAAAACACCCTTGTAGCTTCATGCCAGCCTCCTCAGACCAACACTGCACAGTGCGTGAGGTTGGTTTATGTTCCCTGCTCCTCTGAGTGTATGAGGGAAGAAGGAGAACAGAGGTGTGGTCGGACTTTCCAAATGGAGGTCTGAGACTGGACCTGTAAGCTCCCTTCACATTGCTGTAGCAGTGATCCAGGATCTGTGCTCCTCTTGTAGCTCGAGTCACATGTTGGTAGAAATTTGGGAGTACAGTCTTTAAATTACATTTGTTAAAATCCCCAGCGACAATAATCACTGCATTAGGATGAGCAGACTCGTATTTATGAAGGATCTCGCTCAGATCCTGTAGTGCTACAGTATAGTCCGCTCGTGGGTGGATGTAAACAGCACATAAAAATATCACAGAAAACTCCCGCGGAAGATAAAAAGGGCGACAGCTCAAGACCAGGCATTCCAGATTGGCAGTACATGTTTGGTTCACGATGCGAGTATCCGTGCACCAGCGCTGATTAATTAAAAAGCACACACCTCCACCTCTGGATTTCCCCGTGGTCTCCTTATCTCTGTCCGCGCGGTGAACGGTGAATCCCGGGGGCTGAACAGCAGAGTCCGGGACGCCTGGATGGAGCCACGTCTCGCTGAGGCAGAACACAGCGCAGTCTCGGGCCTTTCGCTGGCTCTGGACCCGACACAGAAGCTCGTCCGTCTTGTTGGGCAGAGACTGGACGTTGGCCAGGTAGATGGAGGGCAAAGGGGTCCTGGAGGAGCGGCTACGAACGAGCAGACCGCCTCGTTTTCCCCGGTGTCTGCGCCTCCTGCGTCGGCTCCCGGTACCCTGCTCCACACCGCGGAGAGCACGCCGGAGACGCCCAGTCCCCCCGCTCTGTTCGCGGCCATTGCCGCGGCCCGCCTGCCATGTCTGACGGGCCTCACGAGTGGGGCACTCAATAAAGTCCAAGCACCTCAGTTCGGGTAAGACCTGCGATACTCCACAAGCTTGGTCCCGAATGTAGAGAAGTGTCTCCCGGTCGTACTTCACGGTGGCAAGTGTATCACAGACGAAAAACAACATAGAACAGACAGTGCACACCAGAGGTCTTACTGAGGCGCTCTTACTGAGGCGCCCTGACCCGGCGCCCTGACCCGGCGCCATCTTGTTGTTGAAGAATATGGCTACATTACGCATCTCCATTCTATTTATCATGAAATAAAGAGTATTTTTTCTTTTATTTATGCCATAAATTGGCATATTGTATATTTCTGACCAATATATCAATCGTCATATCGTGATAAAATCGTTATCGTAATATCGTTATCGTAAGCTTTGTATCGTATCGTGAGGTACCCTTAGGTTCCCACCCCTATCTCTAACCATGTTTAAATCCAGGTTAAAACAGTTCTGTTTAGCTGTGCATACAACTGAGGGATTTTATATTTTTCTTTCTTTTTAATTTACTGTGATTATTTATGATTTGTTTTAATGTTCTCTTGATTTGTTCAGCACTTTGAGTTGCCTTGTGTATGAATTATGCTATACAAATAAACTTGCCTTGCTTATGGAATCGTCTCTCCACAGACCCACCCTTGGGCCCACACAATCTGCTCATAAAACAATAGCCAGGAGTCTGATTTAATTTGTTTCACGCTGCAATTATGTCTCGCAATGCCAAGAAAAGCACAATCCACAGTCTATAAATACCTTCACATGCGCTTGTTATCAGTGCTGCTCATTACGCTCTCTTTTGTCAAATGCAGAAGGTCATCCCAACACGCCGCTTTATAAACTGCTGACCGTTTTTAGTTAAGTCTACAGACGTTGCGCCCTTTTTTTCTTTCTTTTTTTTACTCCCTAACTCCATTCTGTTGTCTCCACAGATTGCCTTCTCCCAGCACAGTAATTTCATGGACCTGGTGCAGTTCTTTGTCACGTTCTTCAGGTGAGTTCAGAGACGTCAAATCCTTTCTTCACACCGCCGCCGTAAGTGTTGAAACGGACACGGTCTCCGCCGCTAACACATGGCAGGAGACATATTACCGAATGCACCGTACCGGCCATTACTGGGAGCGAGAGCTGCTTCCTGCCCACTGCTTTCTAAGGGCCTGCGAGCTGTCAGTGTGCACAGTGAAATCACACACACACTTTCATCTTATTCTCTAGATATGGAACATTACAGTGTCTCTCTCTCCTCGTACTTGCTCAGAGGAAATGGCCAACTGTGGTAAAATGTGGCCTGTAGGAAATCCGTAAATCAGTCGCTTTCTGTTGCAGTGTAATTTAAACGTTTCACTGGACATTCATCTAATTCTTTTGTCGCAAACTGTTGAGCTCATGGAAAAGCAAGACGGGGCACGCTTTGATCAAAAGTAGACACAACACTTGTAAAATGCTTAAACTCTAGAATAAACTTGAGGGAAGTTTTAAATGCCAAGGATCAAAGTCTAAAGCAGGGATTAAAGAGTTCCGTCTAGGTGACGGATTTCCGTCAAATGAACTTGGTCTGGAAAAAAAAATATATATATTATGATAATACACACAATGAAATGATTGATTATAAAAATAATATATAGTAAAACATATACGTGTGAATCTGTTATATTATATATATATATATATATATATATATATATATATATATATATTATATATATATATATATATATATATATATATATATATATATATATATATATATATATATATATATATATATATATATATATATATATATATATATATATATATATATATATATATATATATATATATATATATATATATATATATATATATATATATATATATATATATATATATATATATATATATATATATATATATATATATATATATATATATATATATATATATATATATATATATATATCTATATATATATATATCTATATATATATATATATATATATCTATATATATCTATATCGATGTATAATAATAATTTGAATATAATTGTATTTATATGTATATAGAAATAATAAGTAATATAATCACGAGTGGGCCTTGAACGTGCCGTGGCCACATGAGCGCTCCGCAAATGAATCAAGGCAATGGGACGTAGCTGAGCTCATGCGCAAATGAAGACGCGATGAAGTTAGCATTGGTAACACGGAGGTGAAAGTTTCTGGAAGCTGCACGGAGCTTTTGAAAAGGAGAAGAGGAGGAAAATTGAATAACAGCAGCAGATCCGCGGACTGGTAAGCTGGGTGCGTAATAGACGAAAGGTAATTAACGTTTACCAAACGCAATGCTATTTTACTTAACGGAATGTACAAAACGGACTTTGCTGCGACTGGGAATGGGGACAAACATGTCTTGGTGAGCTTTTGATATTGTCTTGTTTGCAATCTTCTTGCAAAACTCAGCGTGATGTAAAAGAGCCAATCAATGAGTCATGGTGCGAAAAGATGAAAGTGGCCGGTGCTTGTGCGTACTTTGCCATAAAAAATTGCATGTATGGGAGTAATGAGAAAAAAGTTTTGATTCGCCACCAGCTCAAAACTGCGCACAAGGCAGCTGTTTGTGCACTTTCCCACACTTCATCTTTACCTGGTGCATCAGCAACAACTGACACTAGGCTTGCTATGGCAAACCGTGTCTGTGGCTTTATCGCAGAAAATAACGTTCAGAATATCACTACCGCTGGTACATTTATTTAAATCATTTGCAGTTGATCGAAGTGCACTGTGCACTCAAACTTGATAGGGAAACCTTTTTCTTAAATATTGACGTGTCCACAAACAAATTTGGACAGAATTTTCTCGTCCTTTTGCGATATTTTGACGAGGACAGAGCCAAAGTGTTGACGCTCCATATCGCCTCAAGTAAAGCTACTCTCACTAATATTCTGTCAAAAAGTTGACTCGTTGAAATATAAGCTTGCTTATATTTCATATCAAAATACACTGTATATCTTTGAAGAATTCATTTGAGCTGTATTCAATATACAATCTATTATACAATAATATATTGTAATTAAAAATATAACTTGGTCCTGCATATTACTGTGATTTACATGTGATAAATTTCCATGCGAAAATTTTCAGTCAAATCTTTTTTTTTTTGCTTTAACCCCTGGTCTAAAGCTTCAGTCAAAGGTTGTGGTTTGGATCAGAGATAAGATTTTGGAGGAAGACAATTCAGGGATTGAGTTGTTTGCAATATACATTTTAAAAGCTAGAGTACCTAGAATGGAAAGCGCAAAATTTTAAAGCAGGTATCTGAAACTTCACTTGTAATTCTATTCTATTGTGATTCATATTTTGATTCATATTTTTACCATTATGACCATGTAGTATAATCAAAAATATACGCAGGATGAAAAATACTTTATATAAATGGTCCCTCCCCTTGGAATAAGCATCTCCAGTAAGATTTTCTGAAAGACAATACTTCTGGTACCAATAGTGAGGAGCCTCAGCTGTCAATCAGGGATTTCATGTCATTGCATCTCATCAGGAACCTGTTGGGGGTGGGTCTATCTGCATTACTCTCTCCATCATCACGATTTGAAAAGTAAACGACCTTCACTTTAACTATATGATAAAATCTAAGTTCTTTGCTCCTTCAAACACTTTGGTTCCACATAGAGTTGTGCATGGGTCAGGGTCAGCGGTTGGTATTAAAAAGACATGTTTTCTAATAAGCATCTTGTTTTCTGATTTGGTTCACAAAGTCCTTTCACATATATGTATTTATGAAACAAAGTGAGGGACTCCAGCTTTAACTGAACTAAATCAAAATGTGTCAATGGCTTGAAAAGCAGCTACTTCAAGAGTTTTTCTCTGTTGAAGAACCCTTACATCAGATAACCTACAAATCAGTTGATCTTGGAGCACTGTAGACACCACCATGATCAAAAGTTCAGGCCGCCCACGCTCACTGCCACAGAGTCACTACAAGATCAAAAACATCCCCCCCAAAAAAGTTTTCCCCACATAAAAGTTGCATAATGCACCTTTTTAAAACGTCGTTTATAACCAAATATTTTCACTACTGCTGCTTCTCATCAAATGCAGTATGTAATGGATTTCCTCTTGTTCAATATAATGACTACACAAGTTTGCAGAAGCCAGTCACAGCAGTTACTTGAACACAAATCAAGCCCATGATTGTGTTGTCATTGGCACTTTGTTCCCTGTGCGTTTGCATAGCCGTCCTCAGAGGAACATTTTGCAGACCGGTCCGGTGCCTGTGGTTGTGCCTCGTGCTGCGACCGTGCGACGTTTTGCCGTGATGAATCCCTTGCATTTTATTCAATTTTTTCCCAGGAACTGCGGTAATGTTTTATCGATTTCAAAAACGAGAGGCAAGACACAAAGCTTTCCTGTGGTGCGTTGGCTGCGTGTTCTTGGTGTACTGCAGTTTGAATGTAACCCAGCAGAGAATCCTTTTAGCGGTTTGCCTGCTACAATACTAAAATAAACTAAAATAAAATAAGAAATGCCATTGTACGGGTTGTATTGATTCTTTTGCTGCAATGTGAAGATGGAAGAGATTTTGATAGCACTGATTTGGAGGGTTTGCTTTTATTTACGTTTTTCTCGCCCGACACAGCACTTTTTCAATATATACTGTGATGTTTGATAACGTTCCAAATGAAGCCCGGGCTCTTGTGCTGGTGTGCGTCGAACATTTATAAGCACTATAGGGCTTCTCTATTGCATACTGATGCCCCCCTGCAGATTTTCCCATGACGCTCGGGCGTTTATAGCCTCTCTCAGCATCCACTTTTCACCGTGTCAGCACTTGAAGCTCGCATTTGCTGCGTGTTGAGGCAAATATCAACACTGTATACATGCTCTGCCCTTTGCTCTGCCTTCAGTGCGTGTGTGTCTTTTCAATAGCTACACCCAGTTCTATATATAAAGATCCAATAGAGTGGGTGTCATAAACCAAAGCCACAGAGTTTGATTCAAAAGTTGCACTGATATCTTTATTTTTCTGGAAGCAATCCAGATATCAGACATAAATAGTGCATGAACAAACACTGACGGTGTAGAATTAAGTTGGCCAAGTAAGATTTCTTTTAGAAAAGTTTTCTGTTTGAGGTGCTTCATTTGACACACCAGGAATCTCGACTTTTGTAAGCCACGGTTTAATCCTGCTCCATCTAAAGCCACCATAAGTACCACTGTGGCTAATTGTCACACTATCAGAGTCCAAGAAGAGCAATTTACTACATACCAAATACCATGAACAATGCATATTTTCATCACGCCATAGAAAATCAATCTTAATTTTGGTAGATTGTGATTTATCAACCTATATTGCAACCTTTATTACCTTTTTAAATAAAATTGAAAGACCTCAATAATAACAGAATGGTCTGGAGAGGATACACGGCCATGAGTACAGATGGCATGAGTCATCTGTGCTCATGTATCCTCACATGGTGTGACATTTTGTCAATAATAACAAATATTATCTTTGACATATCATTTATTTTTTTATAAAGGGATTTTATTCAGACTGCACAGCTCGGTGTGAAAGTACAATACACAAAGATTAGTCCACACGCGTCATGATCATTAGCTAATGATTTGGACTTTTCCAAATTACGCTCAGCACTATTTAAAATTCTAATTGGCGGTCTGAGCAAGCCTCTATTTCTGAGGCGATTGTTGGCGCAGTACTTATGTCACATGAGTTATCGTGCGTCAGAGGAAATGTGACAGGGATACGAGTAAATTATCGTAGCAGTTGCTAAATACTTGCACACCTGCTATAACTTCAGATATTTTTGCTAATTTTCTTTTAGTCTTTTTGTACTACTGCTTGTATACTGCTGCATCATTTATCCACTCTCTCAGCTCTTTCTTCTCTGTTCTTCCACAAGCTCCTAATCTCATCTCTCCTTCCGCTGTCGTCCCTCTGATGGAACAGACGACAGAAAAAGTTGGCGTCTTCCATGTCCCTATT